TATAAACCTGCCTGCGTTCCTTGGAGCTCTCAGCACTAACCATGCACAGTTATACTTACTATAAGTAGCTTGTGGGCCTGTGTCTAATACCTTTTATTATTCTTGTGTTCAATCACCACTGGGTGTTTGCAGTAAAATCAGGCTAATGTATTCCATGGAGAAAGGGCTTTGTTGAAAGGAGTCACAAAACTCACTGGGGTACAGGCAACAAAAACAATACCCCCTTTTTCCTATTCTGGAAGGTTTTACTCCCTTTATGACCAGACCATTTTTTGCTATTTGCCACTGCATTACTTTAACTGGAAATTGTGTGGTCATGAAACGCTGTACCTAAATGAAATCTATATCATTGTTTTTCACACAAGTAGAACTTTCTTTTGGTGGCATTTGAATACCACTGGGTTTTTTATTTATTATTATATAAATAAAAAAAGACTGAAAATTTTGAAAAAAAACAAAATTTTTTCCTTTCTGCTTTTACTTTTTGCTTTAGTTTGTATCCAATAAAATTCTTTAAAAAAATGTCTTCATAAATATAGGCCAAAATGTATTCTGCTAAATGTCTTTGGTAACAAAAAAAATCCCAATAAGTGTATATTCATTGGTTTCTGTGAAAGTTATAGCATTTACAAATGATGGTATATACTAGAATATTTATTTAATTATTATACTAGTAATGGCAGTGATCAGCAACTTATAGTTGAACTGTTATAGTGCAGCGGGCAACCTGGCACTAACTGATGCTGGGTGGGAAGTGTATAAATGACACTGCAGTGATGCTTATACAGTGATCAGTGCTTATAATATAAACTGTCACTTGAATAATGACACTGGCTGGGAAGGGGTTAACATTTAGGGGTAATCAAAAAGTTTACTGTGTGCCTATCAATGTTTACTGTGTGTACTATGTGCTGCTTTTACTAAGCAATGTACCAGTTTTTACTATCTGCTTTGCAGGGAGAAAAAAAACAGTACATCGCCGCTGACTGTAGAGAGGCCTGTGTACCAATACAAGGCTCTCTTCTGTCATTCGCTCAGCCGATCAGTGGGTTCCAGCCATAAATCATTGGCTGGAACCCGCTAATCAGCATGTGCTGTAGTGAATGACAGCACAGCCAGCCGGGGCAGCGGACATGTGCTCCCTACTCAGAAGAGCCAGATTACATACATATACAGTGGGGATCGAAAGTTTGGGCACCCTAGCTAAAAATTTGTATTAATGTGCATAAAGAAGCCAAGGAAAGATGGAAAAATCTCCAAAAGGCATCAAATTACAGATTAGACATTCCTATAATATGTCAACAAAAGTTAGATTTTATTTCCATCATTTACACTTTCAAAATAACAGAAAACAAAAAAATGGCGTCTGCAAAGGTTTGGGCACCCTGCAGAGTTAATATCTTGTACTGCCCCCTTTGGCAAGTATCACAGCTTGTAAACGCTTTTTGTAGCCAGCCAAGAGTCTTTCAATTCTTGTTTGAGGTATCTTTGCCCATTCTTCCTTACAAAAGTCTTCTAGTTCTTTGAGATTTCTGGGCTGTCTGTCACGCACTGCTCTTTTAAGGTCTATCCATAGATTTTCAATTATGTTGAGGTCAGGAGATTGTGAAGGCCATGGCAAAACCTTCAGTTTACGCCTCTTGATGTAATCCCCTGTGGATTTCGAGGTGTGTTTAGGATCATTATCCATTTGTAGAAGCCATCCTCTCTTTAACTTCAGCTTTTTCACAGATGGCATCAAGTTACCATCCAAAATTTGCTGAAATTTTATTGAATCCATTTTTCCTTCTACTCGGAGATGTTCCCTGTGCCACTGGCTGCAACAGAACCCCAAAGCATGATTGATCCAACCCCATGCTTAACAGTTGGACAGAGGTTCTTTTCATTAAATTCTGTGCCCCTTCTTCTCCAAACGTACCTTTGCTCATTCCGGCCAAAAAGTTCAATTTTAACCTCATCAGTCCACAGAACTTGTTTCCAAAATGCATCAGGCTTGTCTATATGTTCATTTGCAAAGTTCAAACGATGATTTTTGTGGTGAGGACGTAGAAGAGGTTTTCTTCTGATGACTCTTCCATGAAGACCATATTTGTACAAGTATCTCTTTATAGTGGAATAGTGTACCACAACTCCAGTGTCTGCCAGATCTTTCTGGAGGGATCGTGCAGTCAAACGTGGGTTTTGAATTGTTTTTCTCACAATCCTGCGAGCTGTTCTGTCTGATATTTTTCTTGGTCTTCCAGATCTTGCTTTAACTTCCACTGTTATATTGACATCTGAAAACGGTTTGCTATCTTCTTATAGCCTTCTCCAGCTTTGTGAGCGTCAACTATTTTCAGTTTCAGTTTTCTAGACAACTGCTTAGAAGAACCCATGGTGCTGATTGTTGGGGCAAGGTCAGATGAGTCTGGGTATTTAAAACCTTTGAGATTGACATAACCTGGTCTTCCCAGAAGATGATTGAGAACAATCCATGACACTGGCAGGTCTCAGCTTTGCAAAGGGCATGCTATAAATTCTGCAGGGTGCCCAAACTTTTGCAGATGCCATTTTTTTGTTTTCTGTTATTTTGAAAGTGTAAATGATGGAAATAAAATCTAACTTTTGTTGACATATTATAAGAATGTCTAATCTGTAATTTGATGCCTTTTGGAGATTTTTCCATCTTTTCCTTGGCTTCTTTATGCACATTAATACAAATTTTTAGCTGGGGTGCCCAAACTTTCGATCCCCACTGTATGTTATCTGGCGTTATGGGGATGCTCTGCCAAATATCCAGAACTGGTTAATGAATTGTGCAAGTGAACAGAAGTTTTGCATAAAAGACTGCTGTATTTAATACAACACATTTGTTGTTTTACAGGATCTAATTTTTGTTCAGATCTAGATAGACAATTAGGAAATTCCAGTTAGTGCCAGAGATGCTCAGAATATACTTTATGTTTGCCTGTGTGAGCAATGGGTCCCCATTTCTAAAAAACAAAAAAACTAAATACAAAAATGGCTGTAATGTATACACAGCTAGCGCTTGACTTTTTCTATATTGTGTTGATAATTAAAGCCAAATTGAATTTTCATTTATAAGTCAGCTAAAAACATCCCACTTGCATTGCAAAATATATGTTACAGCCTGTTTTCTTTAGAAAGCAGCCATATCCTGAATTAAAAAAACGTTTCCTCTGCCAGCTTACTGAAAAGAAGACCTTTGTTCTATCTGTGGAAGCAGTGGTCTCTCTGCAGAGATTTGACATGCTCCCCATACTCAAGCTGGAGCTCTTCAATTAACAGGGAACATGCATTTTGCTGATTACAGACCTAAAGGTCTGACTCAGTATGGAATGTGTTAGGCTTTTGAAAAGATTCCACAGTTTCCACACAAAGAGCAATGGTCACACTTAGTGTATTTTCTACTCAGACTGTGCCTGCTTTAGAGGGAAAATAAATTGAAATACACTGAATGCCGTTTGTTTTGATGCATCTGGATTGTACAGTTCGTAGCTGATTTGAACTTGAAGGTAATGGTTGTTATTGCAATTTTTTTTTCACTTTTTTTTTGTTTACTGCTCACTGTTGGCTGACCGTACTTAGCCAGTTCAAACTCTGGAGAAATCCCCACTTTAATGTTGGGATCTACCCAGATGCCAAGACTGGCTCAACCACCAGCTCTCTGCTCACTGAAGACTGACAACTGAGCAATCAGCGGTCTTTGATCACTCAGTTCTCAGTGTAGAGGGCACAGGGGACAGCTACAACATTGGACCGATGCCGCAGCCAATTAGGTGAGTATTAATGTTTTTTTTAATCCTGAACTTCTCTTTACTGTTCCGCTTCAAATAAAACCTATCTAATGCTACTGGTGTGTGGGTGAGTGTTGGGTCCAGGTCATAGTGGATCACCTGTGTACACAGCTTTCCACTCACCTCCTCCTTAATTTCCACTCCGCCGCTTCTCTGGTGGCTCTCAGGGGCCTGCAGAGTGGCCGGAGCCCCTCTCTCCGGAGTTGTAGAAGTTGTTTCTCAGTTTGTACAGCTCACACATAGCAGGGGAGGAGTATAGTGTGCGGTCAGTAAGCAGTACAAACTGAGCAACAAATTCTCCAACTCGGGAGAGTGGGGCCCCGAACGGACTTTGAGAGCTGCCAGAGGGGTGGAGTGGAAATGAAGGAGTTGGTGAGCGTAAAGCTGTGGACATTGGCATCAGCTATACACAGGAGATCCACATGGCCCATTAAAGGGACATAGGCACATTATGATGAGCAATTGTTGTGAGATCATATAGTAGAGGGGAGCTGACATCTGTTGGTCACTTACTATTGTTGTATGAAGCACAAGTGGTGGCACACATTTAAAGGCACAGGACTTTGTTTATTAATTGTTTGTGGAGGACTTTAATTTGATCAACTGTTTTTTGATGAATATTTATGTTTATTCACTACTCCAGTTATTACATGATATGGTATAATGTGTTATAACATCAATCAGCACTGCACAAATTGGTTACAGTTTTGTTTGCTGAAATATATGAGAGTCACAACAGCTGCTGACATGGGGAGTTTTTTTAAACTATTTTACAAATTTAGGTGTTATTCAGTTCAATAGGATAAATTGTTTGGATTGTCACAGGCACTCTGGAGTGGTTTTAGTACAAAAAATGGCCACTGCCCCAGTCTATACCTGGCCTTCACAGCAAGGAGCACATGGAAGTGCCATGCATGTCAAACAATAAAAGAAAAAAATTCCCAGCTCAACTTACTAACCAGCTTGCAAATAAACCGAATTAGCCTGTCTAACAGTATGCATTAAAAAACAGGGGTTTAGTTAGCACACATTTGCAAATACATGTGGGTTAAGGCAGTGCTGTAAAATAATGGTGGCCACACAAAATATTGACACTTTGGGCCCAATTTGGACATTTTCACTTAGGGGTGTACTCACTTTTGTTGCCAGCGGTTTAGACATTAACCTCCCTGGCTGTATTCCCGAGTGTAGCTCAGGGTAAAGTTTCAGTACCACAAACGGTAACCCCGAGCTACACTCGGGCTTACCATGCCGCGTTGCTCCAGGATCCCTTGATCACTTACCTTGTCCTGCGCTCCCGAGATGTCCCTCCTGCAGTATCCCCGGCAATGTAATCCGGCGGATGCCGGCATCTGTCATTTGGGTTCCATCCCCTGCGAGCGTCGGGACGTATGGGGATGGAACTAGCGGGAAATTTGAAAATGACAAAAAGTGACATTCACTAAATTCACTAAAATCACATAGTATAACATAACTGTATCAAACCATTTCACATACATTTTGACCCGAGTGCTTTGTCCTGTGCCCTGCCTGCATTTTTACTGTTCTTTCTGCCTGGAAACTGAGAAACGTCCATGGCGTCCAAAAAGCGTCCCTTTTGGTCAAAAGCGGTTTTAGACCAGCTAGAGAACAGCAATAGTAAATCAGAACTACTTGCATAATTGAGTGATAATGATTTGTGGGGAAATTCATCATCAGACACTGAAAACGATTTTGCGACTAAGATCAGTGATGTGCGAACTTGGCGCTCTATTTCAAATTTCAGTGTTTTTGGTTTGATTATATTATTGAATGAAATGTATTATTATTATATTATTATTTTTTTTATGATTATTTATTAAATTATAATTTATGATTTCGTGATTCAAGTTTTATCCTACCCGGGATGTTTACTAGACTCTTGTTCGGACAGATTTCAGTGAGTTATTCCTAAAAATTACAGGCCTACAATAAAAAAAATACATATTTCCATGCAAAAAAATGTACCCCTTTGAGTACAGAAATATGGACATAATCAGACCGCTAGGGAGGTTAATGGCTGTGTGTTGAAATATTTTGAGGGGACAGAAAATGTATACTGTTCTACAAGCTGTACACTCACTACTTTACATTGTAGCAAAGTATCATTTCTTTAGTGTTGTCACATGACAAGATATTATAAAATATATTTACAAAAATGTGAGGGGAGCATGCACTTCCGTGAGATACTGTAGCACAGTGGCAGCCAAGGTGTCCAGTGCACCCCCTCACCAATAAGTCAACAGTACAAAAAATGTCCACAGCCCTAGTCTATAACTGGCCTTCACAGCAAGGAGCACAAGGAAGGGTGATGCATGTCAAACAATAAAAGAAACAAATTCCCAGCTTGCAAACAAAACCGGAATTAGCCTGTCTAACAGTATGGAGTGGTTTTTAAATTTTTAAAATTTTAAATGAAATAAATTTTAATTTATTTCATTTGATTAAATTTGGGTATTTTAATTTTTACTAGCAGCTCACAAGGTTAATATATTCATAGTGGATCACAAGCATCTTAGGGAGTAGAAATACAGTGGAAAACCTGATCATGGACTGGTTTAAGTCAATATATTTTACAGTTCTACAGTATTAATCTAATTCCCCTAAACAGAGGCAATTCATGGACCTGTCAGCAAGGTTTATACAGTTAATAAATGAAGAGAAAACAAAGCAGTAGCAAAGTTTGTAACATAATAGGCATACCATTTGCAGCATGGTGATCCCATATTATGAACCAAACAAACTTCCATCTGTGTAAATTAAAAGATAGTTCTAAAGAAATAAGTAGCAGCTAAGGCAATCAATTATAATGTAGAATTGTATCTCTGACACAATATGACAGCGAAGCTCCTCAGCAAATCCTCAGAGGTTCCCACCTTGCTAATCTGTAGCTTTGATGGTTCTCATACCCTAATACTGCAATAAAAAGAAATAAATATGCACTGAAAGCACTCTGTCTTTGGTCTTATGAAGGAGGTGAGCCTGTTCAGCCGCAGGCAATCTTTTTGACTGGATAGTAAATTCCTATAAATATTTTATGAGATGTCTTTGACAGGATCCAGGCAAAGAGTCCCAAATGAAAGCTCAGACAAGACCTCTGACTGTGAAACTATTTCACATAGTATCAAAGCTGCGGTCACATCACAATCAGAAATGTGAGAACTGTACACACAGATAAAACTTCAGCTGTGTTTTTTTAATGGAAGACATTTATCAATTGTCTCATACAGTGAGATCTGTATGTGTAGTCCATAGGAACAAATCAAATTCCTTCTTTCAAGTTTGAGGTGGAAAAAATGGCAGCCAGGATTTCATTACTATTTATAGCTATTATGTACTGTACAATTTTAACATCTCATCATTTCTGATAAGACTTACAGTTGTGCTGCCTGCACTTGCTACTGAAAATAAAAGAAATTCAAGTACTGCAATGATAGACTCCTCTTGTCCCCAACTCATTTCTTGCCATGAGGTTCTCAGAGCAAATTTTTGACATCCACATGTTTCAGGCATTGGAAAAGGATAGATGAGGTGTTAAAAAGTGTAACTACACTCCCATGTAATCGTGGTAGCTGGGGGTATTCTGTACATTGTTTGTGTACAGAACATCCCTGGAATTCTCATTTCCTTATTATATAACTGGCTTACTACTCTCCCTCAAAAAGTCACTATAGAGGTTAAAGTAGAATTATAGTCGACCCCTCGAATAGGAGTTTTATTTTAAATGGATGCTTTCAAAGTGTCCTTTCTTGATCTTTATAATTCTTATCTGGAACACATTACAAACAACTACCCTCCAGGGGCGGACTGACCATTCAAGCACTAGGGCGCTGCCCGAGGGCCCGGGGTCAGTAGGGGGGGCCCATGAGATGCCCCAGGTACCTTTCATTGTTTTTTTTCATAGGCTTTTTTGGGTGTGGGCGAGGAGACAGGGGCCCCATGATCCCCTATTGCCTGGGGGGCCCCATGAGTTGTCAGTCTGCCCCTGCTACCCTCATTATACTTTGCATAATTCCAGTGTTCTTCTACCCCTTAGTTCTTGAGTTAATAATTGCCTAATTTTTCTTTCCCTTTCTTTTCTTTTTATCTATCAGAGCTATATATTAGACACGTGTCATTATATGGATCTATAGCATGATACATGATAATACCATAAAGTACTACATATGAGCTATCTCTACATTGGATGTTATCAACATTGATTTAATATGCATATCATCGAAAAATGAAGGACATGGTCTTGCAGGCTAAAGTAATGCAAATGCTGTTACCTTTACAAAACTGAGACTGAAGGGATAGTTATATACAGTAAAAGACAAATCAATTTCACTTCAAAGTCCGTTTGACAAAAAATGAAGGACATGGTCTTGCAGGCTAAAGTAATGCAAATGCTGTTACCTTTACAAAACTGAGACTGAAGGGATAGTTATATACAGTAAAAGACAAATCTCAGTTTGACAAACGCAAGGTAATCAGTATCTCCAGAACAGAAAAGAGTATGAATCTGTAATTGAGTCCTAAAATCCTTGCAATACAGTACATGCTCCCTTAGGGAGGTTTTATTCAATATTATAGGATTATAACTTTAAATGTACTTTTAAATAACACTATAGGTACTAGAATCTGTATTTTTATTAGTTTTCACTATTTAGACTGCATATCATTTCTCAGAATGGGAGAGGAAGGGGCAATAGTGTGAGCTATTCAAACTGTCAATCTAAAGGTGGCCCTAGATATGATATTGATATGAACATGCAATCAATCATTCATTACAATTGAAACTGAATATAAATCTCAAACCAGAGATCCTCTATTCAGTCGGAGTCAATTCAGTGAAGTCTCAACTGACTTCAATTTTGCCCAGATGATTGGCTGGAATGTCAATTGCTTCTGATCCATCGAACAAATATCTGTATTTGCTGGGAGAATTGGTCAATATTCAGATTGATTTAGCTTTCTTTTTAATAGATTGTTTACATTTAATAGTGAAAAATTGTATTTTCATTCAATATTTTCAGTTGATCGCAAAGTGCGTAACAATCCTGTGTGTGTTGAATTGTTCAAAACTATAAGTTCAATGTTTTTAGAAAAATTTCAGACAGGTAAATGTACAAAATGCCATGCATATTGAAGAGAAAATGGAAAAAAAAAAACATACATACACTATATTGCCAAAAGTATTGAGAAATGCCTCCAAATAATTGGATTCAGGTGTTCCAATCCCCTCCAAGGCCACAGGTATATAAAATCAAGCACCTAGACATGCAGACTGCTTCTACAAACATTTGTGAAAGAATGGGTCACTCTCAGGAGCTCAGTGAATTCAAGCGTGGTACCATGATAGATTGCCACCTGTGCCATAAGTGCATCCGTGAAATTTCCTTGCTACCAAATATTCCACTGTTAGTGGTATTATAACAAAGTGGAAGCAAATGGGAACAACACCAACTCAGCTATGAAGTGGTAGGCCACGTAAAATGATAGAGGGGGGTCAGTGCATGCTGAAGCACACAGTGTGTATATGTCACCAACTGTCTGCAGAGTCAATGGCTAAAGACCTCCAAACTTCATGTGGCCTTCAGATTAACACAACATAAGTGCATAGAGAGCTTCATGGAATGGGTTTCCATGGCCAAGTAGCTGCATCCAAGCCTTACATCACCAACTGCAATGCAAAGTGTCAGATGCAGTGGTGTAAAGCACACAGCCACTGCACACTAGAGCAGTGGAGACTTGTTCTCTGGAGTGACCAATCACGCTTCTCTGTCTGGCAATCCGATGGAGTTGTCTGGGTTTGGTGGTTGCCAGGAGGCCGGTACATGCCTGACTGCATTGTGCCAAGTGTAAAGTTTGGTGGAGGGGGGGTTATGGTGTGGGGTTGTTTTTCAGTGGTTGGGCTTGGGCCCTAGTTCCAGTGAAAGGAACTCTTAAGGCCTCAGCAAACCAAGACATTTTGGACAATTTCATGCTCCCAAGTTTGTGGGAAGAGTTTGGGGATGGCCCCTTCCTGTTCCAAAATGACTGCGCACCAGTGCACAAAGCAAGGTCCATAAAGACATGGATGAGCGAGTTTGGGGTGGAGGAACTTGCCTGGCCTGCACAGGATCCTGACCTCAACCCGATAGAACACCTTTGGGATGAATTAGAGTGGATCCAGGCCTTTCGTCCGACATCAGTACCTGACCTCACAAATGCGATTCTAGAAGAATGGTCAAACATTCCCATAGACACACTCCTAAACCTTGTGGACAGTCTTCCCCGAAGAATTGAAGCTGTTATAGCTGCAAAGGGTGTGCCAACTTAATATTGAACCCTACAGACTGAGACTGGGATTTCATTAAAGTTCATGTGCGTGTATAGGCAGTCTTTTCAGTACTTTTGGCAGTGTAGTGTATTTAAAATGAAGAACGTACATCTGACAGTATACATACGTTGTAAATCAACAGTAAAAACAACAAAGCTAAATAAGGAATCAATATAAGTAAAATATCTCCAAAGCACAGTCAGTAAATCCACCTGTCTAAACATACATATC